CCCCAAAACCCCAAAACCCCAAAACCCCAAAACCCCAGCTTATTAGAACCCTAAAATAAATTAAAAATCCCTTAGCTTTAAATATGAAGGAATGGTAGTATTTTACCCAAGCCAATGAAGACGCTAAATGTAACCAATTTTAAATCCCACCAATTATTTTAACATCTCCAAGTTGGTTTTCTTTGAAGAGTTGTTCTGCTTCATTTTGATTTACTTCACTCATAGCGATATTTACCGTTTTGAGACTTAAACTTAAGTCTGGAGAACTTGCTAATCCTTGTACCAAGTTCTTGAATTGGTCAAAGTTGTCCCTCAAGAAATATACATCACTATCTTCATCTTCTGATAAATCTAATTCCTGGATTTGGCAGTTTTTAAGAGCCTTTGAGAGATTAGGAACATCCGGAATTGATAATTCACAACTATCAAATCTCATCACTTTCACATGCTTGAAAGCTGCCATAAGCTTCTTCAATTGAGGGAGGCGAATAGAGAAAAACATAAGTCTAACTTCATGAACTACTTTAGAACTGAGCCTTAGCAATGAGTTAAAGTAATTCGACCTATTCAGGTTAAATCCATGATTGTTCCACAAACTCAACATATTAGTTTTGTTTGGGAAGGAGAATTCAAAAAAATCAACCAAGTGCTTATTTTTTGACTTGAAAAAAATAAACATTATACACCCTATATCTATGAATCTTATATGATTTAAACTTCTTGAAAATCCTATGAATTCAGGGTATTCCTCAAACAAAAATTCTTCTGAATCTAGAATATCTCCTATTCTTTTTCTCAAATAACTCCAGAGGATACTGTCAAATCAGGCTCTATCTTGTTTCCTGGTCTTGACCAGGAAAGACTTCTCTAGACTGGATAATTAGATATGGACGAAGAGGGAAATTTATGACAGAATTCGTCAGAAAGTATCAGCTGGGAATTGGAAGGGTATTTATAGAAACTAGAGTAAGTCTGAAGGGTGTGTCTTTTGAAGAAAATGTAATCTGGTGAGTTAAAAACAGATTTTAGAGAAATAAGGATATAGAATAGCTTAAGTATAAGGATATACTTCCCATTGAGAGGCTTACGATACGATTATTTTAGATGTGGATGTTTATAGAAGATAATAGCATTTTAGAAACTTCCATAGAATAGAGGATGAGCATTTTGAGCACTTTTGAAATAAGTCTTTGGTTACCTGATAGTTTTAGCCTTCTTTTCTTCGATAGCTTCTGTCATGCTTTCCATTTTATTATTATATAAAATTAGTTTTATTTTTCAATATGTTTTCAGAGTAGTGGGGTTTTGGGGTTTTGGGGTTTTGGGGTTTTGGGGTTTTGGGGTTTTGGGG